CGCCGCGAATATTCCAGGACGCAACAATGTTATTTAGAGAAAAAATAGAATTAATATTGGCCTTCCCAAAGACCAGAAGGTCATCAACATACAAAAGATGAGAGATGTTCATATTGCCTACTTTTATGCCACCAAAAGACCCATTTAACATAGCATCATCCAAACAAGTTGAGAGAACTTTAAATTCAACACCCCAACTATAAAAGTGCAATGATATTTTGGACAAAATAGAAATATAAATACATTTAATTTGCCTACAATTAATTTGATAATAACCAAATAGGAAAAAAATTACGACAGAAATCTAACCACATAACACATAATACAATTTGCAAGTTCTTGCTTTGAAAAAGGAGAGAATTCATGGTTAACTAAGGGGCTGTTTGGTTGCCTGAAAAAGAAATGTAGTTTAAAGTAAATGCAATGTAAAATCGATCTTAAAAGTAAATGTAAGCAAATAGGTTGTCTGAGTCAAAAGAGACATGCGCACGGTATGTGTTTCCCTTAGTTTTTGTGGGTGACTACCCTTCCAGAGTAAAGTAAAAATTAAACTTTTTTTCAAAAATTGTTTTTTTAACAAAGGAGAAGAGAACCTACCTAAATTGACTGAAACTCCCATGTCGCATCTACAGACTCTAGTAAATCGGCTTTTCTGACTCTAAACTCGTCTCTCGAGTAATCATCTTCTTTTGATCCATCCACCCCTATACGCTTGTTGATTATATAGCTCACAAATATAATGGTGAGCCTTTCCGTCCAAAAAATATCTAGAACTTAAAAAAGATTTCTTTAAAAATTATAATACAAATGACAGTAAAGACCCTCACATCAGTAAAATTTTCAATCTACACTAATATATATTAATAATATAATATATATATATACTATATACTATATTAGGTAATACTAAACAAATCTAGTTTTATATTATCCCATTATAATACACCTAAAAAATTTTGAACTTAAAAAGATTTAAATTTGACTAGAATTTACATTATACAATCTAACTATAGTAGGAGACATTTTAGAACGTATTACTCTGGAAGTTAAAAGAAAAGAAATATCTACTTAGAATTGACTTACAAACATGATTTAATTTATAAATCTTCTCCTTATTTAAAAATTCTACACGTCTAAAAAACAAGAAAATCGAGGAGTATATCCTGACTCCGGCCCATCCTCTCGCAACGCGCTCGACCGGCAAGTCCACCGCCTCACGTCCAAGGGTCCTTTACCCTTCTCAAATCCTCAGCATAACGATCCTCACCCTGGATTCATCACCCTTCTTGGTTCAAATGCCACACAACAAAGAACACTCGTCTCCGTCGACAGGCTTATCTCCACCTTCTATACCGCGCTATATCCCCCTTTCGAACGGATCATCTCTGCCAAGTGTAATCCAACAACAATTGGATTGCCTATACGTCTGTAGAAATCATATTGTTTCGGCTCGCCGAGAACCACTCCAGACTGAGAGAAGCACACTTGTGCGTAGGGTCTCGTCTAGAGAGTTTTGGCCTCAGCGAGTTCCGAGCCGGGGCCGGAGGAAAGAGAGGGGTGGCTGGACGTTTTGAGAGAGGATGGTCGCGCTATGCCTATATCTGATTAGAAGTGGTTGCTTTAAGTCATTGTGGTCCGTGACATATGGTGAAATGTCGCGCTTCTAGCTTATTTTAAGCTAATGTGTTAGTATATTGGAGCAGACGAGGCACGTTTTTGGAGAGATTTCGGTTGAGTCGGAAATAGCAGGGCAGGACGGCGGGAGTTCACACTCGGTGTTCAGAATCGCCTTATCGATAACTTTCAGGACTCCGACAATTCATAGCCAGAAAGGTGAATACTATCGTTGAAGGACCAAACGATCGAACAAGAATGGAAGAACGTCAAGATTCGGATATGGAAGCCGATATGTCGAATACAGAACGGCCAAAGGAGCCGAGAAGCTGCTTGATGCAATGATAAGACGAAACTAGCACGTACCGACGTATCTGTATCCGCACTGCGTATATCTATCTAGCTTCGGATGATTCAACTATAAACCACGCATATATTTATGATCGGAATCTCTTATGGCAGGCTGTCTAATCTCCGTCGCAATCAAAACAGACTCACACTCCAATCTAACAACGCCCTTAAATAAACTTCAGATGATTTATCTTTTTTGTTTACGGTAATGTGATTCAAATAACTCAAACATATCACGATTACATAATACATGTTAATTGTTTTCCAATTACACTCCTAACTCTTTCGACGCCGCAGAGCCATTAATCAGGCACCCTAACGCCTAGAGTAAGCAAAGTCTCTCTACGTAGCCCCTGGTTATTTACTAAGAGGCTGTGTTGGGGCCTTTCGGCGAGGAGACATATGAAGGGATATTTAAATTTAGAGATAGCTTCTTAGGCTAATAATTCTGAATACGGATTTAGCTTTTAGTTTTTTTTTTTTTTTTTATTGTATAGCCTTGGTCTTGAGTACTGGATTTTATTTAAGAGGAGCAGTCCATAAAAGATTAGCGAGGTGAAATTTGACACAACCCCGAAACACAGACCTGACAAACAAATTTGGGTTTTGGGGCTCACGCGAGGTATGTGAAACTGTTCAGGGTTTATTGTTCCTGATTCAATAAACCGTTCTCCTGGATTTACCAAAAAATCGGGATCGGGTCTGGGACCCTGGAGAACCCAAAAATGACCTAGAAACGGTATCAAAATATTCTGCAGAAGATCATATGAGTTAGAATATATTCGCTTAAGAAATACACGTCGTATAACTAGGTACAATTCAGCGAAGTCGACAACGTGTTGCTCCGCTATACAGGTCTGCTGAGTCAAATTTCGAAGCTATATAAGTGCATACGTGATCATGCAGTATAACTGCCTGCGTGCTCTGGTAATTAACGCTCTGCAATCTCTACACGTGTCAGCTCGAGCTATATCCACTGTGCTGCCATCTTCGCTAAATTACGCCAGACACCTGAAGCCAATGGTGCCTGCTTGAGCGTATTTGGGAGTGCGCTGGGGTACGAGTTTGTTTTCAGTGTGTCCGACCTCGAGCATACTGTACCGACTACTCACCGGCTGCTGACGAGTCCTCAACTCAAACTCCCGCACCTAAAGAATGTTAAAGGTTAGGACCGTGTTCTTACCACACGGAACCTGACGCGGGGTCAGCTCCGAGTTGCTGAAATAGCAGACTACGCTTTCACAAAAGAAATTCGTGGTTTCCTCAGGCGGGTGTATTCGGTGGGTCTTTATGAGAACCACGCACGATATAGAAATGAGAATCCGGGTCAGAATCCGTTATTTCTGAACACCGAACGCCAACCTGTCATACACACAAAAATTATACTACCACTAATAAAAATAATATGGCATATTTGTGATGAACAGCTTTTATAAATATTATTTTAATAACTCTCAATTTATATAATTTAATACTTTAAATAATCTAATTATAACTTGATAATTATTTTATATTTTGGTATAAATTGTGTTTATGGAGAGAGAGAAGAATAAACATATTGAGCATTATTAGTTATAATAACAAAGGCTTTGAGAAAAACAAGATTATTCGTTATCATGGGTGAACGCGGAAGAAGGAGTCACGAGTAAGCTGGTATTGATGTTCCGAAAGAGGAGATTTTGATACCTAGGGTTGTAACACATGACTACGTAATAGATTATTATATTATATATTATTATGATATATAAATAGTATAAAACTTCATATTACATCTAATAATTAAAACCCAAGGTAAAAAAGTACAACATAGAAAAATGCAAGGTCCAGATAAAAAACTACATGGTACAAAACCAGTGGCGGAGCCAGAAAGTTATGAAGAAAATTTATCATTTCAGCAAGTAGGTTTTGATGGGGCATTTAACTGATCAGTTCGAGTGCATTTATGTGGAGAAGTTGTGTCATCCAAAACTGCATCTAATTGATTTCCACACATGCAAGCAAACTCAGAATGCACTTTTGTATCCATAGCATCATTTAATTTTACGCGTCAATGAATAATTTCATCATCACAGGTGTCCATAATCGATGCATTACAAGCAGCTGTGCAAATCACAGCTGAATCCATTCAGTAGATGTCATGTACTATTTTGCTTATGCCATTGAGAGCTTCTTCAAATGTGCGCCTGATGCTGGCTTTCTTCCCAAGTTTTTAGGTTGACACGGGCTAGGGGGGTATGAAAGAACTTTCCAAAAGCTACAACAACTTCATAAGAAGCATACAAAAATCAAAACTATAAATAATTTTAAAGTTATCTCACTGTCCGGTTTTAAAAGCATAAATTGAAAATAAATAAAAAGAGCATTGATGGTGCTAGAGTTTTTATATAAAAAGTTCAAGGCTCGACGCAACTAAAACAATTCCACTCTCTGATCTTGGTTGATTGCAAAAAATTGCCCACTCATTTTTTTCAATATGGAAAGAGTACAAAAATATTGGGAGCAGAGTTTGTATGAGATGAAAAAAGCATTCAGAGGATTATGACCAAGTGACATCAATCATGTAGTGTTGGTCAGCTGGATGCCGACTAATAACGACATTCATATAATAAAGATCTAATGTTAGCAGTTGGGCAATAGTTTGCCAGCGTTGCTCGTATAGAGCTTTATAATTCTCATAATTATCTTAAATCTTAAGCCAGTGATCATCTTCATGAAGAGAGTGAGAAACTATTTATAATTTTTTTTTATTAGCATGCTTTGCCAATATAAAAACAATTTAGAATGATCCATTAGACAACCTCTATTTATTCCTTTCAAT